AAATACTAGTAGTGTATTCATATTTTTCCAGATACTGCATAATGTAAATGAACTAGATATATATATATTTTTTTTTTGGATATTAATAACATTAAATTTTTTTCCCTACAGATTGTGTCTTTGTCAACTGAGTTGATATAGAAACGTTTCTTGAAGATTTGTCTACCGAAGTTTAGTTTTTATATAAAATCCAGTTTAGTTCCTAATACACACACACGTACACGCACACACACATATATAGATAGATAGATTTTACACAAATGTCTATTTTTTGAAATAGCCAATGAGTTTTATATTAAAGTCCAATTTTTGCATAATGTCTGTTTTTTGCATAAATGTCTAGTTTTCCAATATCCAAATTATTTTTACATACAGAGTCTATTTTTCTAATAGTTTTAATTTTCCACAAACGTCTGGTTCTTCAAAGTCTAACTATATAATTTTTGTATAATGTTTATTTTTGCACACATGTCAAGTTTTTGCACAAATGTCTAGTTTTTGCAATATTCAATGATTAAAGTCCAATTTTTGCATAATGTCTGTTTTTTGCATAAATGTCTAGTTTTCCAATATCCAAATTATTTTTACATACAGAGTCTATTTTTCTAATAGTTTTAATTTTCCACAAACGTGTGGTTCTTCAAAGTCTAACTATATAATTTTTATATAATGTTTATTTTTGCACACATGTCAAGTTTTTGCACAAATGTCTAGTTTTTGCAATATCCAATGAGTTTTAGATCAAAGTCCAATTTTTGCATAATGTCTGGTTTTTGCATAAATGTCTAGTTTTCCAATATACAAATTGTTTTTTTATGTATAAAGTTTATTTTTGTAAAAGTTTTAGTTTTGCACAAATGTCTGGTTCTTCAAAGTCTAACTATATAATTTTTGTAAAATGTTTATTTTTACATATATGTCAAGTTCTATACAAATGTCTAGTATTTGCAAAGTCAATATGTGTCTATTTTTTGTACAAGTGTCTATTTTTTTTTGTAAAGTATATAATGTCTATTTTTTGCACAAATGTCTAATTTTCTAGTTTTATGCAAAATGTCTACTTTCTGCAAAGTCCAAATTATAAACTTAATTATTGTATAATGTCTAGTTTTGCACAATTAAATAAAATATAAGTCTTGTGTATTTTTTTCACAGTATTTATATTAAACGCAATATGTGTATGGTAATTGTACAGTGATGAGGGATATGATTTAAAACATGGTCGAAATTGATATTGGTAGAATCTTCCTCTGTTGTTAGATATATTACTTTTCTGGTCAGTTCTTGGGAAGAGTCTATAAATTGGCGAAGTACAGATGGAATACACTGACCAATAAATATAAAGATAGGATTCTTTTTAATAATATTGGTATGTATTACTCGAGTTGGTGAGCGGGAACCAACGTGACAGCAATGGTTGTCTCGTTTTCCATTCAAGGGCACAATCGATTCTCTCATCCTTATCGATGAAACAGGAATAAAGTTTAAGATGCTTGGAATGTCTTTTAGCGAGTATAAAATAGTGTTTTTGATTTTTTATTTTATTTTGATTAAAATATGATAACATTAGCAAAGTTTTTTTATAAAATCTTTTCTCAAAATAGATGATAATAACCTTAAAACATTGGGTATTTGCTGTGAAGTAAATTTCTCGTTTAAGATTATAATGAGAACATCCGCTTCTGAGCAAAGAAAAGTCTTGCTGTCTATCAAACTATTAGTAGATGTTATGCTCCTCACAACATAGTTATCATTGTTGATAAGGTTCATATTTGTCACATAAATACCCTCATATTCTTTATCGTAACCATGTTAGTATATCAGTGATAATATATTTATGTCATTATCTTTCAGTTACATTGTTAAAATTTATAATGTTAACATGACTTATATGCTTGTATTTCATAAATGTTAGTATGGACGTTAATATGATACAGGTTATCATAAAGAATATTATTTAATCTATATGTCTAATGGTTCATAGGAAATAAAACCATATCGTATAGTGGGTGTTAAAGACACAACACGAGCACTAGTGCTAAGAGAAGGATATTTGTCCTCTCAGATATCATTGGTACAAGATGAAGAAAGGTACGAGAAAATATAATAGACGGTGCAAGCAAATAGTGTCCTCATCACTACAGATAGATATTTTGGAACATGGAATTAAACGTAATACAAGATCGAAAAAACAAATAACTTGCCCACAAAATGGAATTAAAGTTGAACAGAAATGGATTACCGACACAGATCAAGACAATGAACTGTTCATAGATGCTTATGTTATCCTAGCCATAGGAAATAAAACCACATCGTATAAAGCAGTCTTGAAGCACCAAATAGATACTCGTTGTAAGGAGAATACTCTATCTCATGATGCTTATTTTAATGTAGAACAATAGTTTCATATAATAACATCTACCTTTATTATTGTCGCGTATAATACCCTGTCCTTTTCATATAAATATGATTTCTGTTTGGTATTAGAAATGCAACACTGTTGGGTGTTAAAGACACAACACGAGAACTAGTGCTAAGAGAAGGATATTGTCCTCTCAGATATCATCGGTATAAAATGAAAAAAGGTGACAAGAGAAAATACAAAAGACGGTGGAAGCAAATAGTGTCCTCATCACTACAGACAGATATCTTGGAACATGGAATTAAACAAATAACTTCCCCACAAAATGGATTTAAATTTAAAAAAAATATGGAACAGAAATGGCTTACCGACACAGATCAAGACAATGAACATGTACCACCGTTTGAACCGTTACAACAAGAGGATATTCAAGTAATACAACAACAAACACCGATTACCCAAACAACATGTATTTTGCAGCAAGAAGAAGCTCAACAACAGTATGGTGATATCAGAGGATCTTACGGAAATGATGTACCATCACAACAACAACTGTCGTTTATAGCAAAACAAGATGTGTCATCGACTGAACAAACAACAGACAGTTTACAACATCATGGTCCACCGACTCCCCAAACAACATGTATTTTGCAGCAAGAAGAAGCTCAACAACAGTATGGTGATATCAGAGGATCTTACCGAAATGATGATGGTATTCAAATATTACATATACCATCACAACAACAACAACTGTCGTTTATAGCAAAACAAGATGTGTCATCGACTGAACAAACAACAGACAGTTTACAACATCATGGTCCACCGACTCCCCAAACAACATGTATTTTGCAGCAAGAAGCTCAACAACAGTATGGTGATATCAGAGGATCTTACCGAAATGATGATGGTATTCAAATATTACATATACCATCACAACAACAACAACAACTGTCGTTTATAGCAAAACAAGATGTGTCATCGACTGAACAAACAACAGACAGTTTACAACATCATGGTCCACCGACTCCCCAAACAACATGTATTTTGCAGCAAGAAGAAGCTCAACAACAGTATGGTGATATCAGAGGATCTTACCGAAATGATGATGGTATTCAAATATTACATATACCATCACAACAACAACTGTCGTTTATAGCAAAACAAGATGTGTCATCGACTGAACAAACAACAGACAGTTTACAACATCATGGTCCACCGACTCCCCAAACAACATGTATTTTGCAGCAAGAAGAAGCTCAACAACAGTATGGATATCAGAGGATCTTACCGAAATGATGATGGTATTCAAATATTACATATACCATCACAACAACAACTGTTTTATAGTGAACAAACAACAGACAGTTTACAACATCATGGTCCACCGACTACCCAAACAACATGTATTTTGCAGCAAGAAGAAGCTCAACAACAGTATGGTGATATCAGAGGATCTTACCGAAATGATGATGGTATTCAAATATTACATATACCATACAACAACAACAACTGTCGTTTATAGCAAAACAAGATGTGTCATCGACTGAACAGACACATCATGGTCCATTGCAACAATGCAGTGACTCTCAGGACTTGAATATGACGGACAAATCGATGCAACAAGATGAAATTCAAACATTGATCAAATCAAAACAAAATATCATGAATAAGATATTATGTAATCAAAAAATTTGGGAGAAAATCATACTCTTAGCATTTCAAAAAAAATGAATAATATATTAGAAGATAGCAAAGATGAAAACTATATTATATATCTTTTAAGGATAAATTCAATAAAAACAAACATTGTGGCTATGGAATCCACTTCTTTAGATGAAAATAAAGAAAAAACAATCCCAGAATCGATACACAGATTCCTAGAGGAAAATAAACTGAATACAATACATATCTATGTGGTCAAGTATATACTGTGATGGTAGAGATTATAAACCTAATAGGTAGGGTGGTATATCTTAGAAAATATGGATCCTATATCACAATTGTTGTAAAGTTTTTGAAAAACAACGAGGATTTTTTGTTTATAATATGAGCACAAGAGATGAAAAGCAACAAACAGAGTATCCTATAAAACAGGATACTTATAATATACTTTATAAAATGAATTATATAAACATAACTAACTCACAATGAGGAATCTAGTATATAAGTTTGTCCTTATAACAACATAAGGAAAACTATATAATTTTATGGAATACTGTATATAGTTTTGTAACCCTGTCTTATATAAATTTCTATATGTTAATATATCTACTAATAAATTTTATCAAATTCATCGTTTATTAATTTTATTCTATTTTAAATAATCTCAACCATATTATTGGTATGGCTCTATATAATAATACATATGTCTGCAAACAATAGAAATGGTGATATCATGATCAGAAAGAAAACAATACCAAAGTCTTGAGTTTGATACCACAGGACCGAAGCTCGACTATGATCTAGTTTATTCTTGCACAGTTATAATGATGCACATGTTATAAACATATAGTGATAATGAACAATATATATATATATATATATATATATATATATATATATATATATATATATATATATATATATATATATATAAATATATATATATATATATATGTATAAAGATAAAGTAGAAAAAATGAACAAGGAAATACAACGATTGAAAACATTTGATGATGACGAAGATAAATATGCCTATCATCCAAAAGTGATTGCAAAAGCTGGTTTTTATAAAGTCGAAAACGAATTCATCTGCTTCAATTGTAACTTGAAGCTTAGTGCTAAAGATATTGATACAGGGAAGAATATTGTGGAGATCCATCAAGATAGAGATGCATCATGTACCTTTGCACATAATTTGCCTTTCCTTCCGAGATCAAGATTATATAAAGATGGTGATAAGGAATTAAGATACGAAATGAAGAGATTAGAAACTTTTATAAATTGGCCCGGAGATGGAAAAATAATAACATTGAGAGATTTAGCCAATGCTGGATTTTATTATTCAAGAAATGCTTACATATGCATATGTTTTTACTGTAACATGTTTATATCGTTTCACCCAGAGGAAGATACAGGTATCCTAAGATATAACAACAATATAATCTATATACATATGGGTATATATAAATATTTTCAAAGAAAAAACAAGGAATATTGTCACAATTGTGATTGGGTACAGGGTAAGCCAGTTGGCAATGTACCTATTGTAGAAGATAAGATACTAAAAAAAATCTTAGGACGTTACTATATATCCCTTAGATGGATCTTTACTGAGGTACATTTCTGGTAATAGTAATAATCTTCGGTCACACGATAATACAACAAAAAATGATAAAAAATTATCGAATATGAATTCAACCATATCATAGACCAATTCATAAGAAATACGCAACAGAGGAATCTCGGAGATCCACATATTATGATAAGGATAATTGGCCTCTTAAAGATCAATCATTCGTAGAGAAATTAGTAGAAGCAGGATTCTATTATACAGGTAAGTAATTTTCATATATATATATAAAAAATAAGAGTAGCAAGTGTCGAGGTAGTGATCGTGTTTATTAATCTGTCAAGTTATTTTCAGGTTATGGTGATCGTGTTCATTGTTTTCATTGTGATGTTTATTTTTAATTGGGAAGAGGACGATGACGATCCATGGATACAACACGCTATGTGGAATCCTAATTGTAGTTATATTCAATTAAAAATGGGGGAAGATTGGGGAGATTTCGTCAAAAAGGTATGATATTATTGTAATAATATATTCAAATACAACATATATACATATATATATATATATATATATATATATATATATATATATATATATATATATATACAAATATACAATATAATCCATTATTATAACTTTTTTTTTTACAGACGATGAAGATAAAGGAAAATTTGTATAGAACGCCTGCTATTAAGACCAGAAGCAATATAACGGAAATAGACTGGAATACTCTTCTAGGCTTGATTTCACTAAAGAATTACTATTATCAGACTTCCCGACTAGGGCTGTTAGAGACGCCCTTGAATTACAGATTTTGCTGAAGAAAACACCTTTCATATCCAGAAATGACTGTATTAATACTGTACGAGACTGTATATAAAAAATATGGTCATTTTTCTTTACGCAGTAATATGAAAATAGAAAGCATCAGAAATTATCATGCTCTATATTCAGTATCAGCATTCTTGGATGATATAAAAAAAATGCAATCGAAAATGGAAATTAATAGGAAACATTCTATTGATAAGTTTAAGCAAGATGACTCACTTTGTGTTATTAAACAGTCCAAATATGACTCTTCCATTATATCGCTATACCGCTACCGGTATTCGTTCACTCTTCCATATCCAGAGTACTCTTTTGATGGTAGATTTTATATTGAATATACCACGGTATTATCTAGACTTAACCATGCGACAGATAGTGTCCCAGTTATAGATTCGGCTTTTTCCAAGCAAACTGATAGTTTTTCTTTATTTACAATATGGGAGAAAATTAATTTTCTATTATAGAAAATATAATAAATCTCTTGATAGTTTTCCATTTACATGGAAACTTTGGCCAGTTCCTTTAAAGAATGATGATAATGAAGATAATAATGCTAGTAATAACGATAATAATGATGACATTAATACAAATATTGATAGTAATAATAGTAGTAGTAATAGTAGTATTAGTAGTGATAGTAGTACTAATAGTGATTATGAAGATAGTAATGCTATTATCAGCAAAATAATCAAACATTCACCAAAAAAACGCTCAAGTGATGAAAAAGGATCATCTTTTACAAAAAAAGAAAAATAAATGGTAAGTATAGGTAATGGTAATATATATATATATATATATTATATATATATATATATATATATATATATATATATATATATATATATATATGTGTGTGTGCGTTTAAGATTAATATGATATCTTTTTTCTCATTTCAGATACCCCAAACCAATATGAAGATAAACAAAAATGTAATGTCTGTCTAACTGCTATTAGAGACATACTTATATTTCCATGTAGACATTTAGTTTTCTGTAGCAATTGTATTGTAACTCAAAGAAAATGTCCCATATGTAGAGAGAAAATCTTATATATTTGTAAAGTCTATAATTAATAAACAGAGGGGTGGAAAAAGTGAAAGGGAGAGTATAGTATATTGACAGAGGTTGGTTTTTTTATTATATGTAGTATAAATTAAGTGTAGATATATAATGTTGAGAAGAAATAATTAGTAATTGTGAGAAAAATAGAAAATGTCTCAAAAAATGAACAATATGTATTGTGATGATGACCAACCTATGATTACTCTTCAAGAAAAACTATTACTAGCAAAAGCTGGTTTTGTACAATATGATTCATCATCTAAATTTGTAACATGTAATGATTGTTATTTACATCTTGAGTTAAATACTCTCAAGAAATCAGACGACATTGTGAAAATACATAAAGAGATGAGCCCTTATTGTCAACTTGCACAGAATTTACCTCCTCTCCCAAGATCCAAATCTTTTATTATTGATTCGGCAACGAGTATGCCGAAAGACTTAAGATATGAGATTAAAAGGTTAGAAACCTTTATAGACTGGCCAAACAAATTTGTACAACCCAAGGACTTAGCAGCTGCCGGCTTTTATTATTCGAGAAGTGCAACTTGCTGTATCTGTTTTTATTGTCACAAACATGTCATATTTTCTAACGATGAACCAATAAATTTGCAATTGCAAAAGAAACATATCGACTGTAAGATTACACAGGGTAAACCTGTCGGTAATATACCGATATATATGAGCGATATTATAAATAAGATTAAAACAACTCGGAAAACAACAGTGGTTAATAAGAATGTAAACCAGTCTCTTGAAGGTATATATTTATACACGTATTAGCTGATTTAGTCTGTCTATAACATATATATATATATATATATATATATATATATATATATATATATATATATATATATATATATATATATATATATATATATTACTGATGATTTTATCATTTATGTTTCAGATGGGGCTCCAAGAAATAGTATTAGTGCGACACGAATGCAGAGTTGGAAAGAGCGATTGGAAAGTTTTAAAATCTGGAAATATTATCATAAATATAATGGACCATTATATGATAGTTATATAACAGCAAATGAACGATTCGAGAGTTTTAAAAATTGGCCTATTAGCACATACCAGAATCCAGAAAAATTGGTAAAAGCCGGATTTTATTATACAGGTATATATATATATATATATATATATATAAATATAAATACATATGTATATATATGTTTATTAATGTTATATTTTTTAGTACTCGTCAAAATCCAATAAGCTTTAGAAGTTGGATTTTATTATATACACATACACACACACATATATATATATATATATATATATATATATATATATATATATATATATATATATATATATATATATATATATATATATATATATGTATATATTATATATATATATATATATGTGTGTGTATTAAACAGTAAACAATAATGTTGTGTGTATTAAACTAAACAATAATGTTTAACGTTTTTCATCTTATAGGAATTAGTGATCATGTTTCATGTTTCCACTGTGGTGTCGGTCTTCGCAATTGGGAAGATGATGATGATCCGTGGAAATTACACGCCATATGGTCTGCCTCGTGTCATTATGTTTACTTGCAGAAGGGAGAAGCATTCATCAATAAGGTAAATACGTAACATGATACAAAAATGTCGATATTCCAAGTTATATATATATATATATATATATATATATATATATATATATATATATATATATATATATATATATACATATAGTTTATATTATAATTATGAATAAACAAAACTTTTGATTTTCAGGTTAGGAGAGAATCTAACATGCCAATATCCGGTAGTGTTGATACCCTCACGGAGCACAACCTGAATCATCCAGTATCTAGTAGTGTCAATGCCGTCACGGAACACGATTGGAATCATCTTTTGGGTCTGGATTATACCAGAAAAATATTAATGCTAGGTTTTCCCACCGTTGCCGTTAGAGATGCACTCCGAGATCAAGTTATACAAACTGGTATACCTTTTTCAAGTGAAGTTGAATGTATTTCAGCTGTAAGGAAAAAAATAGAATCGTATATAAAAAATACAGACTATACCACTGAATTGAGTATGGAATGTATCGCAAACTATCGCGCAGTGTATACCGTAATGTCTTTTATAAAAATGATCAGAAAGAAATTTATTTCTACTACCATTAATGACGATGACGACTATCCTGATGATTCCGTTTATCTATATAAACAACCAATATTCAACCCGGATGCAGACTCCAATAATCCAATGTATCGTCATGAAATCTCCTTTAATCTTCCTTATCCCAATCTAACATATCATCTCGAAAGCGAATATCGTATTACATTGGATGAACTCAACAATTATGAGATTACTTCTCGAATAAGTTCGTATCTTGATAGATATCAGACTGCCCCCTTAATAACAATATGGAAATATTTGATTGATCAAGATATAGATACTAGAACTACAAGCACGCCTATCAATTCAATAGGTGTGCTCCCTACCTCCCCTTCTTTGGAAGACATTTTGAACAACATTTATAATGATTATGATGATGGAGATAATGCTAATAATAGTAACAATCAAGGTTTCACAAGAATTACCATCTATTTACATATGAATAATGGAATGGACTCGCCTAATCAAGATGCGAACACTGCAAGAAGAGACTCTGATATACAAAATAATGAACGTATGAATGGTGGAAGGGACTTGCCTAATCAAGATACGAATACTGCAAGAAGAGACCCTGGTATACAAAATATTGAATATATCGAGACAACAAAAAATTCAACATTAGAAAAATGTGATAATGTATCAGATAACCAACTTAATGAAAGAAGATTGTGTAAAGTTTGCATGACCGCTGAAGTAGAAGTGGTAACTTTCCCCTGTCATCATATGGTCTGTTGTTCCGATTGTCTCTCGACTCAGGCGCAGTGCCCTGTCTGTAGAGGAATGATTGATCATATCATCAAACCAATTCTGCTATAATTTTTATTATATATAGAGAAAGAGATGACCAAATCAACAATTAGAGAACTCGGTCGCAGTGACCTAGAATTAGCATGATGAGTTATGATACCAATGATAAATAATAATATTTTGTCATTTATTTATTTTATTTGTATATGGTTTCATTAAAATGTTTAAACATCATATGTGTATATATATATATATATGTATATATCCTAAAATATAATTCTGCTACAATAGTATAATAATATTTCCATAATATTAACAACCGATGATCTATCAATAATCGCTTTTGCATATCCATCTCTAATATTGATTAATGTCTTGATAAACCCATTGTATTTCCATGATGATTATTTGCGAATCAAGATGATGGAAAGCAAACATCTGGGTAATATTTTTTTTCGAGTTTTTTTTTATTCCTTAATTTTTCCTGATAATAGTAATGATATGCGGTATCTCTCCAAATGACGTAGGGTATAGTGTATTTATCAGCAAGATATTTCCATACGAAACTACAACCATAATCAAGAAATCTAAGAGGTATAACTTCGTCATAATGGTAAAAATCAAAATTCGTCTTTGAAACCTATCATATTTCCTCCAAGAAACGGTATAATATTACCAAATGTTTTATGTATTATATTTGGATATGGGTCGTAACCATTCGTATAATATTTATTCCTATTCATCGGTATTGCAGTTCGGTTATTATTACCACCAAACTCATATACTCTTTTCATATTTACTCGCATATATTTTAAAAACATTCTTCTTTCAAATCGGTCCTTAATATCGATATATGCTTTCAGTTGTCTCTCGATCAATATTGGTATGATCGTGTGTGTGGAATCGTTCCAGAGCGCTTCTCTGTTAGCGGAAACGACTCCAAGGCAGAGCTGTTTTAGCGAGGACGGCTGCCGCCGTCTCCAAGACCTTGCCATTTCAGCACTGTCACCTCCTTCTATAGCGTTACACACAAGC